AGATTTCACAAGTGAAAATGTGGAATTGCACTTGCACAAAAGAAATAACTTGGTATAGTTGATATCCTCACCATCAAAATACTGGTTGGTTGGTGATTTCCACTTTCGACTAAAAAGTATCACGCATGGGATCATGATCTCTAGTTAGTGGCCATGCAGGCCCAAAAACTACTTGTGCCATGGCCAAAAGATGGTATGGTCTGGGCATTCGTCCATCCCATGATGGGAATCCAACAAAAAGTGGGTATAAAATGTATATATCATCTCCATAATATCATAAAATTGGATGACTATCCGTAGATTTCATCTCTGATTTTTATTGATTTTTGGGTGTACCATCCATCTTTTGAATCTTTTCATGGCACATCTTCTGGAAAAACCTGGGAATTGGTGGCATCTGAGATGCCCAACTTGCCCTTCCGTCCTAGCCAGGACCACCTCAGTCGTTGAGGTCGCTAGGATGGGATACCCTCCAGGAATCGTGGATTTTCATAGATTTTCATGGTACTATAGGTGCAATTAATCATGGGTTTATAGTGGGTTTATAGTGGGTTTATGTTGACATATGTTGACTCATATATCTTCGGTCATCAAACATGGCAAGCTGGGAAATCCCCAGAGGCTATACCGTGTGTATATCAGGTATGTCACCGACGTTTTTAAAGGGGTCATGACACTAGAAATATCTATAAATTATAAGCCCCATTAAATTAATGACCATCTCCTTTCTATGGGAAATAGAATTACATATATATATATATATTATAAACATGCTTTTTTTTCCATGGTACATGTGAGACCAAAAACCAGTTGTGTGATGGTGGGACAAGAACTATTCTCAGCCAGACATCTCTTCAAATGTCAATATCCCTATCTTTAATTCCACTTCTTTTTTGCAAAGAATCGTGAGAATACAAGATCAACCGAAAGATTGAAACGCTAACATCGAAAGTGCTGCACGTGTAAATTTGATCTCAAATTAAATAGCCCTTCACTTACCCGAGGTGTCACCTCACACGTCCCACAGCCTCCCACCATGTCTTTTTGGCTTTCCCTTCCATGGCCCGGGCCCTTGAGGTTCCGTGGCATCAACAGGTGCCAAGTAAGTCAAAGTTCGCCAATTCCCGGTGTATATTCATATCATTTCAGATCCCTTTAAGGTACGGACAGGGCTACTATACCCTCTGGTAAACATACAAAAAAACTATGATGGCAATTTTCAGTAGCTTTTTGTTAAATTACCAAAGGGTACCCTCTGGTAAACTAACATAACTATGGAAAATCACCAGTTTTAATGGGAAAACTCACTATAAATGGCCATTTTCAATAGCAAACTGTTAGTTTACCAGAGGGTAGTCCAAATTCCATGCTGAACATCGTGGTGCCACATTGATGATCCCCAGACGTTGCCCCCCGCCGACACCTGCTGACACGTGCCATGCGAGGATTGCGCTGGCACCTTGGCGATGGAAAAAACTCGAGTCATCCCACGTTGAACATATCAATCCACAAATATCCACAATAATGTGTATATATGTGCAATATATTGCAATATATATATATATCCCCTTTGGAGTTCAGCTTCACGGAAATGATTCCACTAATCCTTTATCATCCTTTATCCAATCATATCCCATCATATCGCGTCCCTTGGTTCCTGCATATCCAGCGTGAACCGCAAGAATATTGGCCAATTAGGTGCTGTAAGTCTTGGAATCAGAAAGGTTACGAACGACACCAACATTTCATGAAAAGTTCATCTTCACTATCTAAGTTTGACTTCCCATAACCTTTCCATCGTTCCGGTCGAAAAAGGGGTAATTCACCAGCTGCCGCACCTGCGCATCCCCCCAGAAAGAGGCCCAAGCACCTGCAGGGTCAAGGGATGTGACTCCAAAGAATGGGATGCTACCAAGCGAGAAGACATGAAAAAAACAGTTGGGATGGGGATATCCAACCATGATGCGTGAAGAGAGAACTCCGATTGCATGACCAGCATGAACGAGGAACAGCAAGATAGAACCAACCTGTAATAGCATGTAATAGCCGTTGTCTACCTGTAAAGATGAATGCAAATTCGCCATTGGGCGTTGTTTTTGACCGATACCCTCCCGTAATCACACATGGCTAGCTGGAAAGTCCCAAATGTTCGATGGTTTTCCCATTATATAAAACGTCCATTTAGTTTGAGGATTTCCCAGCTAGCCATGTTTGACTACCAGATAATAATTCCTGACTCTTGGTTTCGTCCTTCCCAGAAACTTGCAAAAGGCTCCTTTGCAAAGAAATGGTGCGCACTTTGGCCTTTGAAACCAAAGGTGCATGACATTTTTGAGGCAATTCTCTGGCAAGTCCATTTGTTTCTGACATTTTGACTGACACTTTAAAGATCCATATCATGTATCACTATGATAAATATACATCTATGGGGGTAGACTTTTTTAATGGGGCTCCCCTGGGTCATCCACAAGTAGATCATGTTGGTATTGAAACCCATGGTCCCATGGTGACTTAGGGGATCCCCCATGACTGAAGAAACCCCAAGATATTCCCAAGAAAACGAAAGGTCTCCATTTTTTAAGCTCTGCATCCACTATCCGACTATCCTTCCATCCGCAGCCACACCTTCGGAAGCCATGACTTCAGCCTGGGTCCAAATTGTCCAAAGTTCCCATGACTCCATCTCTGGGTGATGGGAATGGTAAGGAATGGTTATAGTAACCCCCTAGGTACCCTAAACTAGCTGGGTAATGAACGTTTATTCCCCATATGGCAATAGGTTTTGACACGTCCCCAAATAGATATAGAGAAGTGATACCCTCCCATAAACTGACATAGATGTGGAAACCCCACTGTTTGTATACAATTTTCCTAGGAAAACTAGTCGGTTTTCCACATCTATCTCATATGTGTTAGTTTACCCCAGAGAACCCCCAAATCGATATAGAAAAGTGATAAATATCACCACAGTAACTGTTGTGGGATCTTACGAACTTCCACGGTGTCTTTTTGGGGGCTATATGTCTTACATCTTCAAGCATCCCATATTCCAACACCATCATTCCGACAGTCGTACAATCGAGCCGAAAACATTCGTAGAACGTACCACCACAAACAGAACCCTGCTGGTTGGTGCTTGAGCAATCCATCCAAAAAATACATTTTAAAAAAAAAAAAAAACATCATATAATCGCTGAGTTTATTTTGGGGGATGGAATATGTATACATATATATATAATGTGAATGTGTATAATATATATATATAACATAATATATATAATATAATATATATATATATAATTATAATATAATATATATAATGTCTAATATATATATATATATAATATAAACCATCTTAGCCCCGTCTCTGGAAAACAGCTTCTAATCCTGAATCATCGCCACCACTTCTGGGTGCGACGCAACTCGTGAAATTTGGATCAGGCAGTTCCAAGTGAAAGAGACCCAAGGGACAAGGACAGAACAAGCAAAACTATGGAGCCGATCCAACGAAATCCTGTAAATGTCAGGTTTCACACGAGGAAAAAATGCCGGGAGCAGCATTATAATATAATATAATATATTAGGGCGTGCGTCGGCCTCTTTGACTGTGAGGACAGAGATAGGCCTGGGGACTATTTATAAATTTGTTGGGGCTATTTATAAAATAGAAATCTCTATCCTCACAGAACAGAGGCAGATCCAGGCAGGGGGTTGCCACACCTGCGGGACTGTGCAAAGAGCAGCGGAACAGCCCGCACATGGAACGATGTTTTTTCCAAGCTCTCTGCCGTGGAGTATTTGCACCCTTATTTCCCACAGACAGCTCTTGCTGATGGGGCAGCCAAAAGTATAAACTACTTCAGTGGCAATCCCGGACTGAAGGGTTTTGCACTACTAGTATTTAGACCACAGTTGCAAACTGATCTCACTGCTTGGTTTTGAGTTCTCACACAAATAGTAAATATATTTTTATATATGTTATGAATATGTGTATGTTTGAATATGTCATCTCATATTGTATAATTTTGATCATTAGTAAGATAACTGTGTTTTGTGCAACAAACAAATATAAGATATATCACTCAAAGATCAAAGAAAAAAAACATTGCATTTTCTTTGAAAAAATCCATTGTTTAAAAACGGCTTCAAGCGGTTTCAAGCGGTTTCTACCCAGCATCAATTCTAGCTGTTTTGAAATAGTTCCAAGCGGTTTGGAGCGGTTTCAGGCTATTTACAAAAGTTTGTTTATAAATAGCGCGGGACGGTTCGGAGCGGTTCAACACTATTTATACTGTCAAGACTATTCAGGACTAATTGGGACTAATTGGGACTAATTAGGTTTTGGTGGTATGAGTAGCTTGGAACGGCTTGGAGCGGTTCAAAGCTATTTGTAAATGGTTTTTACAAATAGTTCGGAACGGTTCGGAGCGGTTTGGGGCTATTTTTAACACGACCTAATATGCAGAAGGTATAAACGGCTCGGAACGGTTCCAAGCGGTTTCTAGTAAGAGCATATCATACGACATGCTTAACCTCTTTTCCGAACTATGATTTTCTTCATCTTCTTTTCAATTTTCAAACAAGAAAACAAGAAGTAGATCGTGAAACCAAGATGTAGAAACAAACAGCAACCATATTATTTCAACTTACAGACAAAGCATCCGGCAAAAAGAAAAAGGTAGCAGTACCAGACAGACAGAGACCGACAGACCTCCAGACCGATAGACAGACGGATCCGAATCCAAAAGCCCAACCTGAGATCTGCATCAAAGGAGGTGTTTTCATCAGTCCATAATGGATATCTAATACGTTGCGCCCTCGCTTGTTCAACACACTTTTGCCTTCACCCGGAAGACGTGCAGTGTACCCCTGCCCACGCTGTATGTTTTGAAAAAAACGCCTATTTCCTCCTTTGACTTTGCGGACACGCGGCCATCCTGCAGGACATGCCGGATTGGCCGGGTCCAGTGGGGGAATAGTCCGTTGCCAAAAAAAGAAACCGGACCCGTTCAGGCTCTCTTTTCGGCCAAAACGCCAAAAAGTGCGAATTAAAGAGGAAAAAATCTTTGGGACTATTTATAAACCCAAAAAAAAAACCTTGCCGAGCTATTTATACATGTCCTGGGCGCCAGTGACTTCGGGTAGGCCTAGGAAATCTTCCGCGAAACCCGAAACCCGGTTGGATTTGGTGGATTTGTTGGGATGGCCGCCTGCTGGCGGTGGCCAAAATATGTCTCAGGAAGGCTCTGCGAAACCGGCCCGAAAACGCTCGTGTCTAATGAAACGCATATGCCTCAGGTACACAAAAAGGCTAGTCTTAGAGTGATGGTTAAGTTCCATCATCTAAAGACAGTGGGTTGTGGGCTGGTCCCAGTCACCGTTCTACCACTTCAAAATGCTGAGGCCCTGTATGTGGGATTGGGACTACACCAAATACCGTTTGCAATTTTGCGGCCGCAGCGCTCATTGAAAACCGTAGGGCCTATGAAAGAAACATATTTCATAGCGCGTAGTGTAGACATAGAAGCACACACCAATGCAGCGATAGCGCAAGCCGCAACGTTTTGCAACTTGAGCCAAATAAGTGAAATCAACAACAGGATGGGAGTAAATCACACATACATGTACAAACTCTATATAAATCCGAAAATTCCTCTTTATTTCATTTTAGTCTACAATTCATTGTAGAGCATGTTGAGCATGGCCGCTTGCGATGTGTGACTGCTGTGTGTGGAAGAGGTTGGAAGTGCAGCATGGTATGGTGGAAGCGCGCATCGAGAAAATGTAGAAAAGCGCAACGTGCATTTCCTGCTCTTGCTTCAAATGAAACCTGAATGTGTGATATGGCTGGGATTCACCATGTGGTTGGTGAGAAGCTGTGGTTCGCAACGCGGATTGCACAGATTGATTGGGTAATGGTTGCCTTCATGTCTTGAAAAAAAAGTCACATGTTCGGGCTCTCAAGCTGTTTCACCGCCTTGAAACCTGCAATGTGTTTTCGCGTTCTGCACGATGCCGTGTGCAACAATGGACACGTTAGGGCGCTATGTCTCATTTAGCGTGTGCGGCATGTCAACACGATGTGTTTAAAATGCTCAAACAAAATTGGATGTTGTCAATGTTGTCCGTGCAGTGCTATGTTTTGTGATGCGCGCAACGCTTTCATCTTAACCCTAAAGAGCTGCTCAGAAATTGCAATTCTGTCAAATATATTCGGGATCGACTGAAAATTACCTAACCCAAAAAGTGTAGAATGATAGTTTGATATTTGCACAAACCCAGGTGTTCCAGAAGCCCTCGTCCTTGGAAAAGGGGCAGTGAAGCAGATTGGCCCTAGTTGACATGGTTCATATCATATATTTCACATCATATTAGTTAATCTAGTCTTAAATGATTTATATATAGTCTTGAATGATTTATAAATAGTCCTGGGGAGCTAGGTATGCTTGACAGAGGGTCCCAAACAAAGAGGCCCATGCACCCATAATAATATAATATAATATAATACAGTATATATAATATAATAATATATATATATAGTATAATTAATTAGACAGTATTAAATCATATACAAAGTGAGCAATCGTTTTTGGACGTGTTGGCTATTTCCATTAACCATACATAAAATCAACACTCATTCTGATGTTCTGATGGAAGCCACATGGGTTCAAAATGCAGACCAGAATGACGCCCTTCAAAAGGTACCCTCTGGTAATTTCGCATAGCTATGGATAATGGATGATAATGGTCCACTTATGTCCATTTATAGATGATTTATCAAAATTAAGAATAAAATTTGTGATTGTCCATAGCTATGTTACCAGTTACCAGAGGCTACATGAAATTCAGGAACCACCAATCAACCACCCATCAACCATTCCAGGTCAGCCGGGGCACATCTGGGCATCGCAACTTCCATTGCTTAAAGAGTTTTAAATCGAATCAGATCAGAGACGGATTCAAAAAGTATGTGGCAACACATCATCTCTGCATCTCCAAAGATGGCGGCATTGTCTCAACACCAGGTGCCTAACATGTCATGTCCCCAAAAACTGGTCAATAAAGCTAAACTTCAAATGGCCCATTCGTTGAGCCGGCCAGGGGCGACACGGCCCGCGAGTCATCTGGGTGAGTCATCTATTACCAAACATGGGATGGTTTGTAAGCAAAAAAGGGTGCCAAGAATTCAAGCATTGTGGTCCACTGCGGAATTGTAGTAGATCGTTGACCCATACCCAGTCGTTGCTGTTAGGTCTGTGCAGCCGAGCGAACAGGTGGCTTTGGGGATTAAGAGATTGCAGCACTTTAGTTGATTGGTGGTCTCACTCCCCTTGAAACATATTGCAAGGAGCAGTTGGTGATTGGGGATCATGATGCTGTAAAAAAAAACTAATCCCCGAATATCAAATACCCCCCAGAAACGATGGTTTAGTAGGGGATTTACACGTATTTGGACCATTTAAGAGGTGTTTAATACTAGGAGGATGGGATTCACAAGGGACACGTTGAAACCACCAACCAGTTAGACCAGTTATCATTTATGTCGCAGACTCCCCTGGGGCTCCTGAGTATAATTTTTAAGAAAGTCAAATGGTCAAATTGTGGCAGGACTTTCAACATATCTCCAGTTTATCTCATTGTAAACGAGCGTACATGCTTATTCAGCTTTGGAAATGATAAACCACTCTTTGTCATTTCTTTGTCTGCGTTTGTCTGAAATTTCGGTATACAATCATAGCCATTGCCATCAAATAATAAAATTTCGGACGATTCACCAGTGGATTTCCTGGGATTTAGGGCGACCCTAAATGTTATGTTTAAAAAAAAAACATTTAAAAAACCATATCAATATTAAGTTGGTTTAAAAATGGCGAAAAACATACAAGATATTCCATGATATTCCCATTCTATGGCAATTCCAAGTCGCCCAAAACAGCACCTCCCAGGTACAACATGTGGAACTCGCCACAATGGAGGCCGTACGCTTGGACTTGGCGGCGGGAAGGTCATATCTACAATTAGTCATTCTGAAAATTAATGGTTATATCTGGTATTATCTGGTGATATGGAAAACCAATGGCCAACAAGGTCAACTCTAGACCTCTGGTGAAGTCTGATGATTTTTTGCGGAAACCATGGGTTTCCCGCGGTTTTCCATAGAAATCTGCACCCAAAAAGGTCAGATTATTTCGCCATTTGAAGCGGCTCCGCCTGAACGCCCAACATGACCAGCTCCCCAAAGACGCTGCCATAGGTGAGGCCACCGATGAAGTAGAGATTCCTACGACAGGATCCGGATCTGGGGGATCTGGGGGATCTGGGGTGAAAAAGATGTGGCCAGTGAAAATTCAACAACTACAAGCCAGAAAAGATGTTTTTTTCTCACACAGAAACTACAAAGAATAGTTTCCAAAAACATACAAAACTGTCTAAGACCTTCAACCCATCAACAAAAACATCAACGGGTGGAGTTTCCGGAATTTCCCTTTTTTTCCCCCCGTTTCCATCGTTTCTCCTGACAACAGAGCCGTCCAGCTCCTCTAAGGTCTCCTTGACAACCTGTTTCCATGGCCACGGGGGTACCCCAAATGGATTGTTAATGGGAAAAAGCGATCTATAAATGGATGATAACTGGGGGTAGCCCTATTTTTGTATGAAACCTCCATATATCCAGATATCATCTTGATATCATCCAAATATTGGTTTCTTTGAATAGGGGTTGAAGATGTGTGTTCCCCTATGGTTGGCCAAAGATTGGGTATACCATCTTTTTCAGACAAACCCAGATATATCATCCAAATACAATCCAGATCATAATACAATTGTCAGCCCTGGATTGATAAAACCCGGCCGTTTCACTTGGGGTGGTACCATATGAGTAGCAAATCATGGCTCTTTGGGGGTACCCCAAACATTTATCAACCAGGTTTCTTTTGTGATTGTTACTCATCCAGGGTTGACATTAATCCAGATCAAATCCACCTGGAAATGCCATAGTTAATGATTCTTTCATAATCCCAGGATACAAAATGCAAATACAGTGTATCAACCCTAAGCAGTAGCAAGCCTGTCCAGTCTTGATCGACTTTATGATATGGAGAATGCCTCAAGTATTGCTGATTATATCTGGATTTCACATTACTTATATCCTCTTTACATGATGGGACCCGAATGGGAAACCATCCCTCATATGAAGATTCATCAGTTAACTACTAATGGGTTATGTATAAGCTATAATTATTTCTTTGGATCATTGCAGTAATGAATAATATTACACTATGCAACAGTTGTAAACTGGGTTAAAGGATTATATCACATATAAATGGTTTAACTATAGTAATAGGATATTATCGGAATTATGTATATATATATAGTTGACAAAGATTACAGTATAGATCCAAGTAATCCCTTTGAATGGTCATAATAATGGGATAAACCCATAAAATGGGATGTTGTCCGGTGTCCATACTTCATCCAAATGCGTTTATATAAACCCAAAAATGTATTTGTTTCTCGATTGGCTCCATTGATGATTTCCCTGTAATCCCATGTGCATCATGGTTAGGAAAATATTGGTCACTGGATTGCAGTACATATATCCCGTTGTGTAAATGATTCCAAATGCTTAAGATCCTTCTTCGTTGATTCAAAACGTATTGAAAAAAGTCCGAAAAGTCGTATACCCCACAGTCGCAAACATTTGGCTAAACAGACGGTGTCAAGGCCGTCTTTGGCGAGGTGATATCCATATCAAACAGCTAATCCCCATGGTGTTAAACGAACATGCTCAGCTGGGAAGCATATGATTCGCCAAATCTATGTATATATAGTATTTTATATCATATTATATCATATGATATTCTATTATGTTCTATTCTATTATGTTCTAGCCTATTCTATTATGTTATAGTGTATGTGATATTATATTATATGTAATATTATATGATATGTAATATTATATCATGACTATATTTTTAGCTATAGTTGAAAATATACTTATATTGGAATTATAGTTATATTGAATTTATAATTATATTATATTATAGTTTATATTATCGTATCATATCATATCATATTATACTAAATAGTATAATACTGAAATATTATATTATTATACTCACTATATTATATTAAATTACACTATGTTGTAATATATTATATATATATATATGTTATATTTAATCATACTGTATTATATCAAAATCATGGTATATCATAGTATATTATATTATATTACAGTATATTATATTATATTATATTATATTATATGATGTTACATTATATTACATTTATATACTATCCACTGGAATTATGAAACAAAGCACCAAGTGGCAGTTGTTTTTTGACTTTCCCTCTTTCCTGTGAAAATGTCCCAAGAGATTTTCACGAAACCGAGATTTCTGAATTAGGCTTCTATTGCCCATTTCTATCGGGGGGTTCCATAAATGGTGGATCCCCAATAGCTGGGTGATTTATTTCATGGACAATCCTATGAACAAATGGATCAAATGGATGGTTTATAATGGACAATCCATCTATAAATGGACAATCGGACAATCCTTTTTTTAATGGATGATTTGGGGCTACCCCCCATGGTTTAAGTGGTACCCATCCAGCCTGTGCCAGGCCCAAAGACAGGATGAACATGGAGTTCCCTTCTGCGCCCTGGCGAAGTTTCGGTCTCTCGACAAATCTTGGTGTAGAAAAACATCGCAGAATGAACATCTGTTTATATACGTATATATCTATATAATATAGAGATGATGTATGCATGTATACGGATATGTATACATTTACATGATTATATACATTTAGATTTTGGATGTTCCGGTGGGTGGATGAGACATCTTGGTGTCTGCAGATTCCTCCACATGACAATTCAATTCTATGGGCCCCTTCCGAGATAGATCCCTGTCCCATGGTTTCTTGGGTAACATGAACCACATTCTGATCTTTTTCGAAAAGATCTTCGCGCAAAATTGATTGGGAACGGTCTGTTTGGTTTCCAACTTTCAAAGGCGGATCCCCTTGCTTTGTCCAACTAGGCAATTTTACAACTGTATTCAAGAGGTAAATAAGCACATAGAATCCCTTCCCTTAATATTAATCTCAAACACACCCCAGAAACCATGGTTTCGCATAGTTTCGCATGGTTTAGTAGGGGATTTCCACATATTGGGACCCATTCTATTAGGTGTGCTTCATCGGGGGATTGACGCACTCCAACGTTGGCAGCGCACCTGCTGAAGTATACGGTCGCCGGGCATAAAGACCTGGCTAATCTAACATAGCCGTGGAACATGGCCATGGTTAATAGGTGAATCATCATCATGTACTGGATTGTTTTCCGTGGCTATGTGAAATTATCAGATGGTATACCGAACAACTTGAATCTAGCTCGGGAGCAATGAGAAAATGGTGATAAAGCTATTTCTGAGTACCATTTTTTGGGGCAAACCCATGTGCCCCAGTGGTGTTGGGCGTTTCCACTGTGGAGGTTGATTTGCAGATTTCCCTCTGCGATCATCTGCCAATCTAATGCCACAGTGTATGATGGTTGCACATTTGGAGGGCAGAGTGTCCAGAAAAGTGCAGAGTTTCTTTTGTTTTATCCTTGCCCACAATTCGCATTTTTTATCATGAGGTACTGAGTACTGTGGCGATCCCTGAAGATAGTATAATTACAAGCTACTACAATATAATTCTATATTATATATATAGATAGATACTACAAGTAGGTAGTATGTAACTTAGTGCACCAATTATTATATTCACATGTACTCATGCGGGGTTTTCAACCACCCATTTTAGATGGTTTACCCTCTGGTAAACATGGAAAATCACCATGTTTAATGGCTAAATCAACTATTTCAATCTATTTCTATGGTATTCTATGGTCATAGTTAGTTTAGATGTGGATTTTTGTTCAATCACTATTTTAGATGGTTTACCCTGGTATTTCTCCATAGCTTTTTGTGAGTTTACCAGAGGGTTTTTGCCATGGCCATCAGCATCCGAGCTTCCCGAGCTTCCCAACCCGCACGGTGCCAAAATTCAGGATCTCGGCCAGGAATTCCTGGCTGGTTTTTCCCCCGGGGCACCGAAATGGAGGGTTTTTTGATGGGGGAAAATCATCCAGAAATGGTGAAAATCCTAGGAACATATAGCAACTAATATAGCCTTAAATAACCTATTCTTATGACTGTTTTGTAATGGGAACATCAGCACTTAAATCAGCTATAAATGAAAGTTTCAACGGGAAAATCCGCGAACTAAATCAGCTATAGATTGGAAAATCCATCGAACTAATGGACAATCTTCCAGTCATCTTTGATTACCAGAGGGGAAATTTCGTTTTGGGGGATGGGAGTCGTTATTCTTGTTTACTACATGTTGTTACATGTTCATTTCATGTTTTTTGTTTTTCTGTATATGATATAATGTATATACACAGTATATACATATATATATATGATTTTATGGCAATCTTTGAAGGGCAAAAATCCTTCGAGGTAGTATGTGGATGATCTGGGCCAGGAATTGACTACCATGAATCTGGGCGTTTCCTCAAGAAATCAATGCTACTGTAGATTCAGGCCCCAAACCTTTAGACACCTCCATGTTTGTTCATATGAAACATCCCCTTCTGAGGTCAAAGCCCAGATTTTGCCCGTGTCTACTGATAGACTGTACCTAGCCATAGTGTTATCTTGTCATTTATTGGTGAAATATCCAATTTTAATTCCATCAATATCCCATGCTTTTCTAGGTATATATAAAATTATATAAACATGTATAAACCCACGATTTCTTCACATTTTTTTTTGCGCCGTGGCTGTTTGCCAAAGGCCTGGGAGGTATTTGCGAAGATGGACCTTTCCCGGAGAATCTTCGCCACCTCGGAAAAATCCATGGAATTTTGGGGGATCAAATCCAATAGAAATATCCATATAAGTTATATAAGTATCCCATAGAAATGGGGATGAAATATCGTGAAATCATAGTATCCATGGGATTTGGGGAATGATCATGGATAAACTATGATAAATTATGATAAACTATGATAAACTATGATAAACTATTAACTATGATAAACTATGATGAACTATGATGAACTATGATGAACTATGATATAGTAGGATTATCATTGAGCAACTATTGGACTGTGGCTGGCAAATATGTATCCAATAGTCTGGGGCTTGATATCCAAGCCAAAATATCATGCCATGATTATGGCAAATGTTCACAAATGTTTGGATAGAGGATAGTCTAGGGGTACTAAAGTATACTAAAGTTACTATGGCTATTGCTTCAACTTTGTAATGTAGTATACCGAGTAGTGTCATCGGACCCTTTTGTGAGTTTTTTTTCAAAAATTATTGAGTATCCTGTGAATGGTGGGGGTGGGCCTCTATTGTGAGATCTTTTCTCAGATCCAATTTTTAAGGTGGAGTTTATTCACCTTTATACACCTTTCTTTGGGTAAAGCTGGTCCATTTACTTTAGAAAGCCATATCCATGTTAAAGCCTTGAAAATGCAAGGTTTCCCAAATAATTAGATGCTTTATTAAACCCGTATCAAAAAACAGCACCCAAACAATTTTCGAGGGGGTACCAGTACCCCATGAATGGCCCAGATCCTCAATAATGTAATTGTTTGGATGGTACCCTATTGTGCACACAAACTTTTGGGGTTAAAAAAAAAGCTGGTCCATTTACTTTAGAACGCCATATCTATGTTAAAGCCTTGAAAATGCAAGGTTTCCCAAATAATTAGATGCTTTATTAAACCCGTATCAAAAAACAGCACCCAAACAATTTTTCAAGGGTGTACCCGGTACCCCATGAGTGACCCAGATCCTCAACAATGTAATTGTTTGGATGGTACCCTCTTGTGCACACAAACTTTTGGGGTGAAAAAAAAAAGCTGGTCCATTTACTTTAGAACGCCATATCCATGTTAAAGCCTTGAAAATGCAAGGTTTCCCAAATAATTAGATGCTTTATTAAACCCGTATTTAAAAACAGCACCCAAACAATTTTTCATGGGGGTACCCGGTACCCCATGAGTGACCCAGATCCTCAATAATGTAATTGTTTGGATGGTACCCTCTTGTGCAAAAAACATTGGGCGACTTTTTTAGTTTTAAAAGGAAAATCAATTGAAAGTAGATTCAAATGAATTGAAAGTAATTTGATTTCAATTGAAATCCTTTCCTATCAATAGATTGTTTGAGGTTTAAAAGGAAAATCAATTGAAAGTAGATTCAAATGAATTGAAAGTAATTGATTTCAATTGAATTCCTTTCTTAACAATAGATTTCTTTGAGGTTTACAAGGAAAATCAATTGAAAGTAGATTGGCATCAATTGAAATCCTTACTTAAGTTGATCATCCTGAGTTCCCCAGACCTGGTCCCCAAGAAAATGCCGAGTTAATGTGTAGACCAAAATTGTTCAAGGGGGGGGCCCTACACTAATCAGTATCCAACATTATACAAATTGTAACTAATACAGTCTGGTAATATGAGTTCGTCAGTTGGGATCATGACATTCCCAAGATATGGAAAGTCATTCAAATCATTCAAAATTCCATGGTTCCATAAACTTTCCAGTCACCACCAACTAATCCAGTGGTAGTTTGATGCCAGGCTCGTTCTGACTCTGTCGCCACGGCTGGGCTTCCAGGCCCTCTCCGAGCTTCGAACCTGGCTGGATCATCCTGTTGGATTCTTCCAAAAACATCAAAAAGGGCGCACTGAAAAAATTGCAAACAAGGGAAGAAGAAAAAGTTAGATCACAACATGGCACCAAAATTCATATTTATAGGATTTATAGGATTTTATAATATTTTATAGGGATATTCACCCTCCATACAGGTCTCCATCCATTCATCTCTGTGTTTGCTTTGCGACGATATCACCCGGTGTCATTGACGTTTCCCATTTGTCAACCCATAATTTCCACAGGTTGAGTTTGTCTGAAAGCTTAGGGAAATAATGTTAGTAATGGTTCTAATGGGTGGTTTGCCATAGAAATAGTCGATTTTCCCATGAAAAATAGTGATTTTCAATAGTTATGTTAGTTTACCGGAGGTAAAACAATGTCATAAACCACCCATAGTTTGATGATTTATACCACCCATTTGCCGGTAATGGGGGATGGTGGATCCAAAGCAAGTTGCCTGTTGCGCCACGTTGGGATTCCCCGTGTTCTCACGGACCAACAGCGGCAGGACCTCAAGCCAGCTGATGTACATTGCAAAGATGTTCACAGGTGGCAAAACTGTCTGTAATGTTGGATGGACAATAGTAAAGCGCGTGCAATAGCTACAAAAAATTTTCAGAATCTGATTTTTCAGCCCCTATTGATTTTAAATTAGGCCTTATTGATTTTAAATTACAAACATCAACCTTGGTCCAGAGCATCTGCAATAAATGTGGTTCATTCGCAATAGCTACAAATAATTTTCAGAAAATTCCCAAATTATCAGACTTTACAATACTAAATTGCAAAGGAGCTAATTGAGATTTAGTATGGATGCAGGAAAAAAAAAAGAACCAGTTACAGTTCAGCTGTATTTTTTCCCTTCTTCCTTAGTGTTTTTAATTGTGGTTGAATGGTTTTAAATTGTGATTGCATGCTTTTCAAAAGCAAAAAAACAAAGCAAACCTTTACCAAATCAGAAACTTTACCTTGTTCAAAAAAGCTGTTTTCTTTATTAAAATCCTTTTAAACAAATGCCAAAAACATGTCCACAAAGGGTACCCCCTTGCAGGCCCTTGCATTTGCAATTAAAAACTGGAATTAGCACTTGCAATAAGAAACAACCTTCCTGGCTCTAGCAGGCATTTTCCCTTCTTCCTTAGTGTTTTTAATTGTGGTTGAATGGTTTTAAATTGTGATTGCATGCTTTTCAAAAGCAAAAAACAAAGCAAACCTTTACCAAATCAAAAACTTTACCTTGTTCAAAAAAGTTGTTTTCTTTATTAAAATCCTTTAAAAAAAATGCCAAAAACAGGTCCACAAAGGGTACCCCCTTGCAGGTCCTTGCATTTCCAATTAAAAACTGGAATTAGCACTTACAATAAGAAACAACCTTCCTGGCTCTAGCAGGCATTTTCCCTTCTTCCTTAGTGTTTTTAATTGTGGTTGAATGGTTTTAAATTGTGATTGCATGCTTTTCAAAAGCAAAAAACAAAGCAAACCTTTACCAAATCAAAAACTTTACCTTGTTCAAAAAAGTTGTTTTCTTTATTAAAATCCTTTAAAAAAATTGCCAAAAACAGTTCCACAAAGGGTACCCCCTTGCAGGTCCTTGCATTTCCAATTAAAAACTGGAATTAGCACTTACAATAAGAAACAACCTTCCTGGCTCTAGCAGGCATTTTTTTCCCTTCTTCCTATCAGAATCCAATGAAGATCCCATCAGAGCCCATCAGAAAAGAGAGGATTTGTCAAAACCTTACAGAAGCCTTTGGGGAAGAGTTGGGATTTTCGATTTACTATTGCAAAGCAGACCCCCCCCCTTAAAAAAAAAAAAATAGGGGGGGGACCCCCCTTTACTATTGTCGATGTAACATTATAACGAGATATGCACATTCACATATACATTTATCATCATTTATCTATTATATACAGATGTAAAGAGATGCTCTGTACATGTATATAGGATGTGTGTACGCAATGCGATGCAACGCAACGCAACGTAAGATAATGTGATGTAATGTGATGTGATGTGATGTGATGTGATGTATGCATGCATCTGTCGATGTATCTATGTATCCATGTATTTATGTGTCTATGTGTCTATGTAGCTATGTATCTATCTATGTATATATGATATTTTATTGTATTGTGTTGAATTGTGTTGTGCTGTGCAGTGCAGTGCAGTGTATGTATCGTACGTCTTGTAGTGTATGTCATGTATTGTATGTCATGTATTGTGTGTCTTGCATGTCATGTATGTCATACATGGAATGTATGCAATGTACTTAATGTATGTGATGCATGTGATGTATGTAATGCATGCGATGTATGTGATGTAATCTAATCTAATCTACTCAAATGTACATATATCTCTATCTGTCTATCTATCTATCTATCTATCTACCTATCTACATATCGAATCTACCTATCTATCCATCTATCCATCCATCCATCCGTCCATCTATCTATTTGTCTATTTGTATGCATGCATGTATGTAAATATAAATTAACATAAATGTGACTATGGATATATTTTTATAAAATGAATAGAAATGTTATAATCATAAATCATATAAATATATGGACTGTATACAGGTAGATCCAATAAGAAACACTTTCGCCAGCAATGTCAAGCCAGGGTGACCCTTTTCCTGGCTGCGAGTCCGGACCTTTTCTCGCTCTCTGGGCATTTCCTGCCGTGGATAAGGGGAATGCGTGCATAGTAACCGATGTGTGCATTTTAAACGAATAGTTGTAACAGAATAGTATGCATAACCTGCAAAAAATGTTGTTTCACTGAATGGTGTTTGTACTTCTCGGAGCATACACGTATATATATATATACACGTCTGTATGTTTATGTTATTGAGAGCCAGGGGTAAACACTCCGTCAGCATTACCATGCTCAGAAACATGTTTTTCAAGCCTGGCGACTGAGGCTCCGCTGGAACCGATATTGGTTCATATCTTGACCATATCTTGACTATTCTGGGTGGGTATTCCCATAATTGTATGCTGAGCACTCATGGGTTCTGACCCCAGTACTGGTACGATCAACTGAAACTCTAGTAGGAACTAGTTTTCAATGGCTTAGAACATCTTAGAACCCCTTAACAACTGGGATATCTGGCAATGGAAAATCAAGCAATTTAGTTTGATGATTTTCCAGCTAGCCATGTTAAATGGTGTTGAATGAATCCTTTCCCCGCAATATTGAATGCTTCCCCAAGAAGCCTGATTTAGTATGAGTTGGTCACAAACATTTGGGGAAATTAATTGATATTGGCTATGTTGGCGAGATATGTGTATATATATATATGATACAGTAAGTATATAAATATAGTTATAATATATATATATACATATCCATGTCAAGATTGTTAAACTATGTTAAACCTCCATTTAGAAATTACTACCCATATATAATCCCCATTGTAATCACCATTGGCTGATATTGTACTTGGATAAAACCCAATTTAATCCAGCGAAATAGGGATTTAACATGATTTAACCATCAAAAATAGGGGACAACAAAACCCAGTTTCAAAACATAAGCTGTTAGTGGTTACCTTTACCAGAGCCTGCCAACAAAATGTTCACCTTGCCTCCAGTCCACGGGCAATCACACCGCAGTGCAGCACCGTCACAAAGCAGATCTGCCGCCGTGAGACCCACAGGATCCCACAGGGACGATACGAGGTGACCCGGTGGCTTTGAATTCCCGGTTTCAACTCAGTTTTTTTCACATGTGTTTTTAAGTCAATTGGGATCATGAAATTTCCTGGCATGATGGATTTATGGAATTATTTATATATAACAACTGGGCAAAGGTTCATCAAATTGATTAATACAACATCCGAAATATATTCGAACATGTTCATATTTAAATCTCCATTCAAAAGGAATTTTCGATTGCCACGTTTGATTACCCGAGGGTATTTGAAACTTGAAACCACCGATTAAAAAAAATTAGAAGCTTGCCACCGACATTTTGCCGCAGAATAGGCCACCTTTCTTTGGTGAGCTGAGCTGGGCAAATGATACAGTATCAACCTGAAAACCATTCATCAACCTGAAAAAAACCAAGGTTGACCCAAATACAGTATTATCCCACCGAAAAAACGAAAATAAAGCATAAAACACATTTTAAAAAAAAAAAAAACATCTATCCCCCCTGGCTGGTTCACAGGCAGTTTGGCCGTGGCTCAGTCCCGATCCTCCCATCCGTGTCAGACCTGAAGAGCCTGGACCTTCACGGAGGACCAGAACCAAGACCCCGGCAGAATGCTCCCTGGCGGCTTTATGGTCATCCCTGGCTGTCCGAATCCACAGATGAGTAGTGTTCAATCACTATATTTGACCATGGCACATATATGTACTACAGTATCATATATATATATATATGAATCCAACATAATCCAACTGAAGTATACTGGTAAATCCTGTAAAATCTCACCAGAGTTTCTGGATGTCTGGTTCAAGTTGCAGCTCAGGTCCTGAAAAATACCCACTTTGGATGAGTACCCCGCCCTTGGGTTGGTGAACCTTGATGTTTCCTCATTGATCCACCGCGTTTTTCTGATTGAAACTGTTTCTTGGCTAAACTTTTCTGGACAAATCCAGATTCTTCCATGGATTAACCATGCTTAACCCCCTATTTTTTTGCTTGCTCATAAAACTTGATGGCAGATGTTCCATCATTTAGTATATCCGTACATCGTATCAAATTGGTTATAGTTATATACATATATAATCATATATATATATAATCATATATATATAATCATATATATATATAATCATATATATATAATCATATATATATATATATATATATCGATTCTATCTCTATTATATCGCCGTTATTGGTGAAACACCCACAATAATATTGGATTTGCATGGATTTGCTATGATTTGCTTAAGGACTCCCAAAAAAAAGTTCAAACAGATTCCCTTTTTAGAGTCCCCAAGAAATGTGTATTTCCCATTGGAAAAACCAAAAAAAATCATCGACTCAGCACATCTGGAGATGATCCCATCCCCCCAGTACTAAACACCCCCAGAAACCATCAGAAACCATCAGGTTTAGATCTTTTGGGGGATTTCCACATACTTCTGAAGATATTTGGGAGAAACCCTGGTTTTTTTAATGCTGGATGTCCACTGTTTTTTCATCATCACCCTGTTGAGGGGGAGGGGGGGTCTAAATGAAATATTTCATTTGTGGATACCCCCCCACCTATACATATACAATCAAAATCACCCCCTCCAAAGACAAGAGGCTAAAATTTATGGATATCGTGTTATGTATGCGTATATCATCCGAATATACATATATAAATATGATATTATATGATAATATATGATAATATATGATAGTATATGATAATATATGATAATATATGATAATATATGATAATATATGTATACCCGGATCCCCCGCAGACCAGAAATTTGGTCTGGAGTGATTCAGTCTACTAATCAGACTGATTCCAGAAATCTCGCCTGAGGTGAATTTTTTCGGCTGAAGTGGCTTTGCTCAATTTTCACCAAAACATTCAACAACGTATATTAGTGATAATAAATAAGACATGAGAACTTCAGGTTTTTGTCCAGAGGGGGGGCATCCCTTGAAATTTCATTTATTGTGTTTCATTTTTTTCCATTGATAAGAGATTTCAATCAGATTTAGCGGGCCGCCCAAAGCCATTTTGGATCATGAGCCGGCCGCGTCAGTGCTGTAGCTGAAGCCTCCCCCTGCCCTGTTGCAGCTCCACCTCGCACCGCCACGGCCTTCCTGAGGCGAGATCATCCCCTGCACATGCGCAGGATTGGATGCCATTGGATGAAGTGGATGAAAAGATGGATGGAAAAATGAATAAAACTCCTTATCACCATCTTGCTGATACACAAAATGAAATGCATCAATGACCCAAGAGCAGTGGCAACATAGGGGGTATTTAAGTTGCATGACACATCTGCGAAATGTCTGGATTTGATATGATATTTATTTTATTTATAAAGGCTTTATCTGGATTGTTAAGGGGATTTGATATGGGATTCTAGGGATTTAGTGAGTCATTAAATCTCTATTGTCAAACCCAGCCCATTTCCATATGGAGGTTTCCTAAAATACAGTACCCCCAAATCATCCCATTTATAGATGGATTTCCCATGACATAAACCATCCAGCTATGGGGGTACCCATGACTTAGGAAACCTCCCATATATGTTTTGGTTTTGATCCATCCAGAAGGGGTTAACCAATGACGGATTTTGCATCACCTTTGGCATTCACCGGCGTCCACTTGAGCTCACTTTTTCATGGCTAGTTGGCCCCTTGGTAGCCTCTGGGATTGAATGACTCATCTATGGCTCTGCCAGCTGTCGTGGTGCTTCAGTTCATCCATGTCCGTTGTTTCATCAAAAAACGCACAAATTCCCTGGGTCTTGCCGAAAGCTCCACTCCAAAATTATCCAAACATCTCCATCAGTTGGAAGCCTTTTGGCAAATTTCGTTGGAACAACTGGGGCTGTCTGAAAATTGAAGGGAACGTCCCCAACTTTGATGGGTTGAGCATCAGTTTCCCTATGGGTTGAGTGGCCAAACATTGGGGCATTTTCCCCAAGTCATTTCATCCCTGGCGCGTCAGGCAGTAGTGCCGAAGCCGTTGAATTCGCCCCTGTGGAAGAGAATTGACATCTCCGATGTGGGCCCTCCAGAGGAGGCTGATGGTTGGGATATGTTGGGATTTTCTCATGTCATGGGGTTATAAAAACATACTGAAGGAATCGGAAATATATTGAAAGACAAAGTATGCATAGACCGCCTCAAAGCTGTTGTTCCTTTTTGTGTCGTATCATGTACACATCAATTCAGCTTTTGCCAGCGGAATGCCGCAGCTCACACTCCGCCAAGTCGCAGGCATCCTCGAGTTCAAAGAGACTGGAGTACAAATATGTCATTCGGCGCCCTCCTGGTGTCAAGCCTCCCACCCGCACTGGTTGGACTGTGTCAGGGACAAGCGCAGAAATTAGGGCGAATCTTTGGGCATCCAGTTTGGAGCCCCTTTTTGAAGTTTCTCAGGGCCATTTGGGGCAGGTGAAATCCAAAACACGCATGGTTTGTGCTGCTTTCCAGGTTTCAAGCTGTGTACATTTCCGCGGTAGATTCTTATCACGGCCAAGCCGCAGGAGGAGGGGCCTGAGATTCTGGAGCATAGCCAGGCGGCAGCAGCACCAGAAGGGCAGCCCCGCGGCTGGTGCATTGCAGTGGTTGGAAACCTCTGTGAGTTTTGTGAAAGTCTGGGTAAACCACGGGAAAACTAGAACATCCCATGGTTATTCCATGGTTTGGAAAGCAACTTCCTCACTAAAATGGCGAATGGAGAGTAAATCCACGAGTGTTTTTTACAAAGAAACACCATGCAGAAACCATAATTCAGTAGTCTTTGTATAGGGGATTGGAAATGTATTAGGAACAGTGACTACTAGACTGAATCTCGAGATAACTTCAAGTTCAATTTTTATATTCTTTGATATTCTTTTATAATTTTGATTTCGGTTCCGGATTCGGGCGCCACATTCGGGCCCCGGATTCGAGCCCCTGATTCGGGCCCCGGATCCGGGTCCCGGATTCAGGCCCCGCATTCGGGTCCCGGATTCGGGTTCCGGTCCCGGGTTCGGGTCCCGGATTCAAGCCCCGGTGTGTGAGGAAGGTGGTTCATTTACTGAATGAATCAGTAGGGAAGTTTGGTAGGCAGATGTAGGCAGGTAGGTAGGACCTAGGGGCGCAAGGAATGGCAGGAGATGGTATCAATGCATCAATTGGTATTGCAATGTATTGCAAACATGTAGCCGTGGGAAAATGAAGATGTCTTTCATTAACGTTTGATCCTTTCCTTTCTCTTCGATGGGGGTCCGCAGCATGATATTATATTTGCGGCAAACTCGAGTAGGTGATTCTATCATCGGTTCTTAACCTATTTTCCTCTGCCACAGTCAAATTGAATATGCCGTGGCCATGGGGATTTAGTAAATTTAGTAAATGCAATGCTTACGTTCACTACGTAATTGAACACATAGGAACAGATGCAAACAAACAATATTTCCCGAGTCTTTGTTAAATATGTTAACGCGGGATTTATTGTGTGGCCACAGGGATTTAGTAGGTGCCAAGCTCAGAAGCGTTATTTTGTCAGCAATTGAAAGCATAGGAACGCATGGAAGGAAACACTGTTTTCCAAGCGCACAGCATCACCGGAACCTTACTTTACGCCGCACCAGAGGCAGAAGAGTGTGCTGTACCACTGTACCAGACATTGGCCAATCATTTTTAGGTCGAATCTATCCTAATCAATAGCTTCGTTTTCACGCTTGCAGGTAAATAGATAGATAGATAGATAGATAGATAGATAGATAGATAGATAGATAGATAGATAGATAGATAGATAGATAGATAGATAGATAGATAGATAGATAGATAGATAGATAGATAGATAGATAGACAACTACAACTACAACTACAACTACAACTGCCACTACACTACAACTACAACTACCACTACAACTACAACTACCACTACAACTACATCACACTACACTACGCTAACTGCAGTACACCACATTACAGCTACAACATAGTGACCCCCTCGGC